TGGAATTCCATCCCGAGGGCCACCCCATCCCAATGGAATTCCCTCCCAATGGAATTCCTTCCTGAGGGTCACCCCATCCCACTGGAATTCCATCCCAATGGAATTCCATCTCAATGGAATTCCATCCCAAGGGCCACCCCATCCCAATGGAATTCCATCCCAATGGAATTCCATCCCGAGGGCCACCCCATCCCAATGGAATTCCATCCTGAGGCCATGCCATTCCCAATGGAATTCCATCCCAAGGCCATGCCATTCCCAGTGGAATTCCATCCCAAGGGCCGTTCCATGCCATGGCAATGCCGTGCCGTGCCAACACAGTGACATTTGCCACGGCCACGCCGATGGAACTCCACGGCGATGGAACTCCGTGCCAGTGGAATTCCATGCCAAGCCAACGCCGCATTCCCGTTTTTCCCACCGCAGCACCTGGCCCTGGATCCAGTGGCAGATGACACCGAGACTCGGCTGGCCCGGCTGGAGCAAGGTGAGCCCTGTCCCCTCCCGTGTCCCATCCCAATGTCCCATCACCGTGTCCCATCCCAGTGTCCCACCCCCGTGTCCCATCCCAATGTCCCATCCCAATGTCCCATCACCGTGTCCCATCCCAATGTCCCATCCCAATGTCCCATCCCAGTGTCCCACCCCGTGTCCCATCCCAATGTCCCACCCCCATGTCCCATCCTGGTGTCCCCTCCCCACACTGTCCCCACGGTGTCCCTATGATGTCCCCACACTCTCCCCTCAGTGTCCCCTTAGTGTCCCCATGGTGTCCCCCTTGCTGTCCCTTTGGTGTCCTCATGATTTCCCCATGGTGTCCCCACACTGTTGTCATGGTGTCCCCTTGCTGTCCCCCTCAGTGTCCCCCTGGTGTCCCCATGGTGTCCCCCTGGTGTCCCCCTGTGTCCCCCTGGTGTCCCCACACTGTCCCATGGTGTCCCCATGGTGTCCCCTCAGTGTCCCCCTGGTGTCCCCACACTGTCCCATGGTGTCCCCACACTGTCCCCAGGTGTCCCCTCAGTGTCCCCCCGGTGTCCCTTTGGTGTCCCCGGGTGCCCTGCGGAGGCCGAGCCGGAGGCGCTGGGAGCAGCAGCCGGGATCGGCCCCGGAGCTGGGATTGGTCCTGGAGCGGCGGCGCCGGGCCCTGGACGCTTCCGTGGGGAATTCCATGGGGGATTCCATGGG